TGCAGTCCATCGCAGGGCAACACAGAGACAAACAACCATTCATGCACACACTCACACCAAAGGAGACTTTAGAGAAGCCAAATAACAGTCATGTTTTCAGACTGTGGCAGGAAGGCGGAGTACCCGGAGAGAACCCACACATGCATAGGGAGAACATGCAAACTCTACGCAGAAAGATCCCAGGCCGGGAATAAATCCCAGAATCTTTTTGCTGCAAGGCAACAGTGCTACTCACTGCTCCACTGTGCAGCCAGCAACAAGTTTAATTCTTTTAACATCAAGGGAGAAGAAGTGGAGGTGGTGAAGGAGTATACAGTAAATACCTTGGTGTTCACCTGGACAACAAAAACAACTGGAGACCCAACTGTGCAGCGGTCTGCAACAAAGGACAGAGCAGATTGTACTTTCTCAGGAAGTTAAGGCCCTTTGATATTTTCAGCAAAACGCTACATATCTTTCATAAGTCTGTCATGGAGAGTGTGATCTCTTCGGCTATCATCTGCTTGGAAAACAGAATTAGAGCAAATAACTTCAAAAAGTTTAACAATACGATGAAGAAGTTCTAGGAACTTCTCTAGAACCTCTGGAGAGGATTTCACAAAGAAGAATTATTCAGTGGAGAAAACTATGGATAACAGTGGGCATCCTCTTCAGAAAATGTTTAAACAACAGCAAAGTGTCTTCAATTAGAGGCACCTTTAGATCCAGTGCAAGGCAGACCGCTACAGAAGATCATTCCTGCCTACAGCTATCAACACCTTCAACACCTGTTGCCTTTTCTATCCCTGCTTCTTTCTGTATCTCTGCTTCTGTCTCCTTGAACCCCAGTCGTCCTCGGCAGATGGCCGCTCACACTGAAACTGGTTCTGCTGGAGGTTTCTTCCTGTTAAAAGGGAATTTTTCCTCTCCACTGTCGCTTCATACATGCTTGGTGTGAGGGATTGCCTTTGAGGCAATGAACTGATGTAATCAGCTTGTTCTCCTTAGATAGAAAAAATGTAAACCAATCTCACTTTATGATCTGGTTGACTTATCTCTTTAAAGTACGTTGAGATGACATATACATTGTGAATTGCGCTATATAAATTTCATCAGCAGGTTCCTAGTTTATAGTTTTTCTAATTTAAAATGATGGCTGGAGAATTTTTTTTTTTGAAGATCAAATTTAGTCTTTTTAGTCTGACCATTTTCCACTCGTACTTTACAATGCATATTTAAGTGATGGTAAGAAAAACACATTGACAAATCTTAGGTTGAGGGAGAATCTTTTCAAACCTCCTGTTATTGCACAAGATGAGCTTTTCTAAACCATGTTGAGAAAAAGGGGATTTTTTTTTTTTTTAACCAAAGAAATCCAGTCATGTGGAGAGGAATGCAAATGAAAAGTATTTCTTTCACAACACCATATAGTTTATCAACTAGTTGTTCAAATTTAAAGTGTATTTAGGAAAGATGGTATCCTCTGTCTTTTTCTCTGTCTTCTCTGCAAATCAATTAAATGGCACTAATTAAACCTCTGAGCAGAGAAGGTCAGACTTAGGCAAAAGGTATTTTCCAAATACACGATAGGCCTTGGTCATTTCATTCAGGGTTTTTATCCAGAAATAGCAGTTCTGTTATTTAAAATACTTAAATTAATAAAAAAAAAATGATTTCCATCACTCTTTAATGAAAGATTATCCCTGGCATCTTGGTTCACTAGACAGTAGGTTTTCTTTTGTTTTGTTTTTATGTCTGATCTTTATCTGACAGTTTCAGGAAATATCCCCATACCAGGTGATTTCCTCGTTCCACTCGGTGTTAAACCAGTTGTTTAACAGCATTCCACAGTGAGTCAGTCCCTGAACTGTGGGACTGAGGCTGAGGAGTATAAATGTTCCTCTTCTCTGTTATCTCCTGGTGTTTGTGACAAGACACTCACAGCCTCATCATGTTGCTCTTCTTGGTGCTGCTTCTCGTCGGCTGTTCAGAAGCCTCTCATTTTCTAGGCACCATGATGACCTACTACCCAGCGGAAACTTTATCAAATGGCTCAATCTCAGTAAGACAAGATTTTTTTTTTAGATCTTTTCAGTCTAACTTTTGGTTTTTATGGTACTTCATATGTCTTCTGCTTTATTTGACAGGTTATCCTTCGTTACAAGTTAAATTTTGTCTCATGCAACCATTCTGATACATGGCAATGTAGTGGCAACTGTGGAATAGAGAGCCAGACCCTTACATTGACCAAAGTTGAGGAAATTAGTGGTGAATGGTGTCAAAGAGAAGGAGCAATAACTCATCTGCTCCCTAACAACAATGGATTTCAGACTGTGTAAGTCCTCCAAAATATTCTGATGAAGTTTAGAATATCATTAAGAAGTGATCTCATCTAAAAAAAATATTTTCAGAATGCTATCCACCCAATACAAAAGTGCTTATCTTTTTTTTTTTTTTTATCTACATATTCTATTCTTAAAAATGTAACATATAAACAGTTTTCCGAGTTCTTGCTGATGTTTGTGGATCTGTACTCACTATGTAGCATCTGCACATTCTTAATGTCTACTGCAGGTTCGCTGGTGGTAACTGGATAAGTAACATCCAAAACAGTGTTGTATCCTGGAGAGCTGTGACTAATGTTGAACTACGGACACGGTCTGACATTGGAAAACCAAACACATCGCCACAGACAACCATTCTCCCAGCTCTGAGGTAGGAGATTTTTAACTAAAGTTAAATGTTACTATTGTAGTATACCAGGATACATATGTATAAAAATAACTGTGACTGGCATCTCTAAAACAATAAAAAGTCAATGTAAGAAAAAAAAAATTGTTGAAAACTTAATTTTCCTAATATTGTTGACAGTTTTTTTTATACCTATGGAGTAAAAAAAATGAGCACTGAGAGTTGATATGCAAGGAAGAAAAAAAACGTTTTATTTTACTCTGCAGAGGAGAATGGCACAAACCAGCTGAATACAGCTGAGTGCGATTCTGAAGCATTCAGAAACACACCCCTACATTTAAAAAGAATCCACAGCATACACACACATGAGCAAGAGAAACACTTATTTCATCAACAGACATAAATTTACTCAGATAAACATTTCAGACAACTGTATTCCGTTCACACCGAAACAGGACGAGAGAACAATAAGAGCATAAGTTTTAACCATAGCATGAAGGAGGCTTTGTGAACTAATTATTTCTAATGACCTTAGCCTTATCTAGAGTAGGGAGGGGAGGCACCTGCTTTCTGTCCCCCTAAACAGTATAGCATAGTGAATGGTACAGAATTTCTCTATCATTACTTCTGTTCAAATATTTTATCACACAAAATAGGCCAAGGAAAAACCTTAATTCCACATACCTCTCAATCATCAATGGAAAAACTTATACTATCTTTAAAGAAATACATTTATACTGTAACTGCTGACATGATTTTTGCTTGACTTAAGTGCATAGAAGCATCTCAATAAGTCTCTAGAGAGTAGAGCCAGAATCAAACTAACAACTTTGATGTGATATTAATTTAGATTTTTTTCTTTTCCCAGGATTCCTTCAAACTGTCCCAAAATAATTGATTTACTGGCCTTTGACCCAGATGGAGATGAAGTTAAATGCAGATATGGAAACACAACAGAGTCAGAGTGTAATCCATGCAATCCTCCATCTGTTCTCATCCTCTCATCTGTAGGTAACTAGGTTAGCTGTGTCTAAATGATACACACAGTTGGGGGGATTTGATAATATCACACATTTATGATGATATTATACAAAAGCTCAAAGTTTTTGTTTTTTTTTGTCTTGAACAATATGGCTTACTTTATTTTACTTTACATTCTGCTCTACAGTGAGAGCTCCTGTCCTCTCTAGTTGTTTAGAAAATGGGATTATAGAAATACAGAGATTGTAATCATAGGATGATGACGTTGATTTTTACTGTGCAACCACCAAAGTAATCAATGCAGATGGACACATGTATACTATAAAAAATGTATTCTGACCCCTGCTGTATAATATTTTTGTCTGCACTGAAAACCTGGCTCATTATTTCTTGCACTTTTATTAGTGATATTTTTCTCTGCCTCAATTTCATAAAAGAATAATAACATTAGGATTATGAGAGGGTTAATGTACAGGTATATAATTGGAAATTTTCAAAAGTAGGCAACATAAGCATGAGTGCTCAGTTTAATCATTAAAAATGTAAACCTCGGAGCAGAGCTCCTGTAATATCAACATCCATGAACTATGAATAACATCCTCATGTTGTTTTTGTCTTTGTCTGCCTGCAGACTTGTTCTCTTAATTTTACCGCGAACAACTCTCCTTCCAGCAGTAGTGATGTTCCATATGCAGTCCAGTTGGTGATGGAGGACTTTCCCACACAGAACATCAATTTGACTCAAACTGATGGTTCACAGGAGATGAAAACGACCAGTGATGCCATCAGCAAGATACCTTTACAGTTTGTTTTGAAAGGTACAGTCAAATGCTGCTGCGATGTTTGAAAAAGTCAATTTCTGATCTTAATGACTTAAAAAAAAGCTTCTCAGCACCTTTGATCGAATAAAATAGCACCTCTTCAATCAGTCTAGAGTTGTTAAACTACCTAAAGTCCTTAAAGCAACGCAGAATTAAAACTAGGCTATACAGTACATGCTATATGGAGGTTTTAAATTTGGATTTAATTTTCTGATAAATAAAAAGGTTTGATTTTTTGTTTCTCAGACATTCATGACATATTGACTCTATTTCTTTGTTTTCGTTTGTAACCCTAGTGGCCCCAGCAATACCATCCTGCACAGAAGGTCTCTATCTGCCCAGATTTATTTTTCCAACTCCAAACAACAGAGAGGAGCTCCAAGCCTCTGTTGGTCAGGCTCTGGAAATACACATCAGCGCAGTGGCAAGTGCGTCCACGTAAGTGAAAGCAAGGCATATTTCAAGAGAATCATCAATATATAAAGTTCAAAATTAAGATTTTCCATGTATTATTGTGTTCTGCAACAGAAAAAGAAGTTATTATTCAAAGGGTTGCTTATCTATGTCTAGATAACACTTCTATGTCTAGATAACACTTTACTTTTTCCTGGTTAGACTTTTCTTTCTTTCAAGTAACGTCCTCTAGGTTTAACAGCAGCACATCATTTCATAAAAAAATGCTAATTGTAATTTTTTTTTTTACTTAAGAAATTTACTTTTGTGGATCTATCAATTCCAAAAACAAAATACCTTATTTTTTCTTTTTCTTGGATTTATAAAACCTCAAATTGCTGCTGAATAAATAGTTTTTGGCTTAATAAATAATAATTCTAATAAATTCAGCCTGTAGTTTTAAAAAACAACAAACTTATCCCGGGATGCAAGACTGGTGTCCAGTTAGACGAGTTTTAGTGGGAATTTTATCTAATCGGTCACATATCATAACCCCAACCCTGATCAAGTTTTGTTGTGACAACAAGAACAAAATATTCCCTCCTGGGAATAATAAGAATAAAGCTACTTTGAAGGAAAACTAGCTGACTCTCTGACTGTCAGGACATAAATGATTGTTGTAAAGGTTGTAAATAATCTGTTTTCTATTTGTTAATAGGATCGCCAACCTCCGGTACAGCGGGCCTTACAATGTGGTGAAGAATTCATTAGGATCAGGGAATTTCACTCTGACTTGGACGCCATCTGCAAGTGAGGAGGGACAGAGTCATGCAATCTGCTTCACTGTCCAGGCAAAGTGAGTGCCTTTTCTGATGAACATCATACTATTTAAAATGCATATGATGTTAAGTAAAGAGGTGATTATTAAAGATATCTTATAAGTATTTCAATTACATTGCACTTACTTACACAAATGGAGCAGTACGGCTATTGCCATAGTGTTCCGCTTGTTTTATGCATATAAATTGCTTTATTATAATTATGCAGGGAGTTTTACAGATTATATGGACACTGCAATGTAAATAGACCAGGAAAGGAAATACAGAAAAAAAGGAGAACACATGAAAGAAACAGGAGATAAAAGGGAGATAATGATAAAACATTTTCAGTCTGCTTCATCACCTGCAAAGAGACGTAAAAAGAACAGCACAACCAACAGACATGGTACGAGACATGCAATAAAGAAACACCTAGAGACTATCGCTGAATTATAAGTACCCAGTAGTATTTTTTAATCTGACATGTATTCTGTGTTACCTGAAGATAAGAATGTGGGCTTTCTGTGTGGAAGTGAATCTCTAAGTACTTCTAATTTGTTTGTGAAAGTGCACTTGTGCATGTAAAGTTTATCCAAAGAAAAAATGCTCAATAGTGGTTGTGGAGAGCCGAAGAGGCGCCCCCCCCAGGGCACTGAGTCCATGCAAATTTGAATCAGATCCCCACTTCTCTTAGAAAACTATAAGTAATGAGTTTTAAAACATATTATTCTCTCCTTCATTTTATTTACATTTGAAACAAAGGAGACATCACACCATCTGTTTAAGAAAGAGGCAATTGTAAAACAGATTTTCAGGATTTCAACTAAAAACCAAATTAAACTGGAGTTGATTCCAACTATTGCTAAGGATTTTATCCTAGTGACTAGAAACATTAGTGTTACTACTTATGGACAAAAGTCACTATGTTTATTTTTTAGAGAATGCCCTGTACCTTATCATCAAGCTAAAATGTTCAATATTTTGCATTTGGAACATCCTCTTTCACAACAGATAGCAGATGTACATGTAAGCAGAAGGGTATATTGCTAAAGGAAGTTAAGCTGATTAGTTTAGGCTTCCTGTTTTATACATATAACAGCCCCTTGGCAAAAAGCAGACATGCCTCTATAAAAAAATCAAAAAACAGTTTGCTTTCTAAAAGCTTCTCCCAGGTTTTGTGCTCTCTCTTATTTCAAAATAACATTCATCCATGTATCATCTATCCATCCATCTTCCCCCACTTATTCCGTCACCTTTAAGGTGGGGCCGGTCCCTATCTCCAGCAGTCTATAGGCGAGAGGGGCGGTTAACCCTGGACAGGTTATCAGTGTGTTGCAGGGCAACACAGACATACAACCATGCGCTTACACCTAATGACAATTTATAAAAGCCAATTAACCTTACAGTCATGCGTTTGGATTGTGGGCATATTTATATAATAAAATAATGCATATTATACGAATTGTTCTAAAAAGATTTGGAGCTTTTCAGCTTCAACTTCAAATACAACAGAAGGATTATCTTACTTGTCATTCCCTGCAACTGAGCACCAAACATTATCCTTTTTAGAAAATACTAGTAATATAGCTTTTGCTTCTTACCTTCACAGTGTCTCCAGCACTTTGTACGACTCTGAACTTCGGTGTGTTATTGTCACAGTTGCACACAGTGAGTGTAGTTTTCTCATGTTCCTTTTATATTCAAATTTGTAGGTGGTTTTATGCATGTTTGATGTTTTTGTGGATCTGTCCACAGTTCCAACACCCACCACAACACCCACCCAAACAAACACCATAACACCTGTCACCACAGCAGCCAACGGGACAATCGCCACAACACCCTACATAACAAACACCACTACACCCACCACAACGCCCGCCACAGCACACATAGCACCCACCTACAACACAACTACAACACCGATGGCATCCACACCAAATATAACTTTTTTCACCACTGAAAATACAACTACAACGCGGATGGCATCAACACAAGCTGCAACAACTTCTGATCCAGGACCTGGTATGTAAGAGAAAAGTAGATGTTTGCTGAGTCAGTCATGAATATACCATATTCTACTGCAGGTGAACGGTTATAATAATCTTTATGGCTTTGATAATAAATTTGTTTCTCTTTTTGTATAGAATACATTATTGCGCTGAATATGAAGATCTCTACCACACTTTCTTTGGAGAATGATGAAGATACCATCATAGCACTGGTCAGTAAACTTCTTGTCTTTCACACAAATGATAACAAAGTTAGTCAGTTTCAGCTTAACAGGTTTGGCTGATTTGCCTGTGAAGCATTAAGTGGTTCTTTTTACAAACCTGTTTGTTATCTCCTGTTTCCATCTCATTGTTTAAACATGGCAGACCCAGTGCGTGAGCAGTTCATGCCAACTGGGAAATAACTTACATTTTTCAGAATAGTTTCGATTGAGCTCACAGTGATAAAAAAAAAAAAAAATGTTATCTACCTGTGTTTTATTTTTCTTTAGATCAAAAACAAACTTGTTGAAGAAGGACTGCCTTCCTCCATAACTGTTCGTCTTCTGAGTGGCAATCAATTGGTTGTTACAACAGCAAGCCCCTAGAGGAGCATCTTGAGGAACTGATCCCTGCAGGGATATACTTCCAGATCTCTTGATTTAATCGAACCCCGAATAATCAACCTAGAGCCTAATCTATTTTATTTGTCCTTTATTTTATTTTTCCATCCATCCATCCATCCATCCGTCTATTGGTTATCTCCAGGAGAAATTTGGCTAGAGGTGGAGTAAAGCCTGTTTGTCAGTGTATTTGGGGAGACACAGAGACCCCTAAGACAAATAACCAGGTCCTTTTTTGTCCTAGAAGTGACTTTTCTGTCTTGTCAAAGTTCAAATGTTCAAAGTCTCAGAGTCATGACCCAAAGAAAACATTGCTGAAAAAATGGCTGGAATTTACACACAGCTTTAGAGATAAGCTACAAACTAAAACAAAAAGGCTTAAATTAAGACAAGAACTGATAAGAGAAAATAAAACACTGGAAATGAAGGGGCAATAAAGTAATGGGCTTTTTTTTTTTACTTTTCGATGCAAAATACTTATTTTTAGATTCTGCTTGAAAAAAAAAAACTACTTTGGAGAAATGTTATGTAATAGTTCTCCAAGATTTCTGAAGCTGTAATTTTTTCAATATGAAAGTTTTGAATTAATCGTTTTACTGTAAAAGAGAAATTACCTTTTTTACGCCACTGAATAAAAGCAAAAAGTAAAGAAATGCACTTCAAATATATATTTTTTTGTCTATGGTTATCTTTAGACAGAAATTTATTAATAATAATGTTTTTCCTACCATTTATTTTTCTGGATCTGCCCTAACGTCTGTGCTGATAAGGGCAGAAGCCAGACCAATTATATGACTGACTATGAGTGTTATGGTTTTCCCCTTTTGTGAGCCCCAATATGTGATGAAGTATTGTTGTCCCCCTGGTAGATTCAGTGCTCAAAAACCTTTTTTTTTTTGCATACTGTCTGGCAGCCTGAGAACCCAAAGTGCACCAAACATGAGAACAACCCCTCAAGAAAGCACTGGAGATATTTTTTAGAACAAGGAATCTCCTCTCATCTGTTTAGTGCAGCAGCAGTTGTAGTGTTGCTCCATCAGTGAATCTCTACAAGTGATAAAACTTTCAGGTTAGGGTAAGAAGCATCATTTTGTTAAGGAAAGCTCTGTGTTTACATCTTTAAGATTTCTCTTTCCAATTCTTTCCAAAGAAGAGATCACTCTGAGCAAACACTTTGAATATCATATTATAAGGTTCATGTATTAAATAATCAGAAAACAACAATTTTTGAAGAATTTAAATCTTACTCAGACCAGAGACGTTACAGAGATAGAATGGTACCATCTGCCTCGCTTCGTCAGAGAGTCAGCAACAGCCCCAAGTCCTGGTTATAGAAGGTTTTTATACAACTCCAGTATTACATGTCACAGCATTATATACACATTTGAAGATGAGGAGCAAGCCATGGCTGCAGCCATATTAAAATATTTCAGTGTTCTTAGATCAAAGAACACTGCTCCCATTCCTATCCCAAATATTTGCTACATATATAATGAAGATAACTTTTTATCCTGGCAGAAGAACTGTCCTAATTAGATAAACTGCTTAATGTGAGGGATTGCCTTCGAGTCCACGAGTCTATGCAATCAACTGGTTTTCCTTAGATAGAAACTTTTTATCAATTTGACTGTATGATCTGTTGATATGTGCCTTGAGATGATACAGTATGTGTTGTGAATTGACTCTGCATAAATAAACTGAATTGAATTGAATTCTAATTGTCTTTTTCTTTCTGTCCTAGCTTTTTAAGATTGAAATATATAATTTTTCCTAAAATCATACGTTGGTATGTATTATAAACAGTAGCCATCTGTTTATCTTGTTTTTCTTTTGCTTCCTAGTCCAATGTAAATTGCCGTTGGAGGGTGGGCATTATAAGCTTCTTGCTTCTGCCTATACACCCTTTTTCACACTGTTATAATTTATGTTATATGGACATATACTGTCTTTATTATATATTTGAATGTCTGAAATAAATAAATAAATAAAATGTATAACATCCAGGGGAGGTATGATCAGGGAGAGGCCGAATCCAACACTTATTGTTTTGAGAGCAGGCTGCACTCAGCCTTGAGTCTGTTCTTGCTGGCTCTACATGGCAAATCAAACATTTCGAATTTGTTGGGCTTTTCCGCCTTGAAGAGAGCGTGCACGTCCAAAATGTTATCTCATCTCACCTTGGAGTTCAACCACTGCAGCCAGCATACAGCTCAGCTCCCAGTCCTGCTCATTCACAGCCTTTGTAAGCACATCAACTACTGCTGACAGACTGATCAATGCTCAAACTGCTGCCAGCATCCTCTGTAATTGTAGATAGGCCTACATCAGATATCCTCCAAATCGAAGCAGGAGAAATCTCAGTATAATAAATCCAAAAATCCATACATCTTCGATATTCTCCACTGACAACATAGTAAAACGCACCATCCTCCAAGCCTTCCATGAGGCCATGGTGTATTTCACAAAGTATTTCCTGGCAGAACAGGAATTATCTTCTTATGCATGTCTTCCAGTTGAGAAAATATGATCAATTGCATTGAGAGACCAGCTGACCAGATCCATTGTTTGAATTTGGGTGGTATGAAGGGAGGGCTCAGATAAGACAAGACAGACCAAAGCAGAGACAGATCGGAGGGTTTCAGAGCAGCAGGAAAATGTGACTGCTTCCTTCAAGAGTCAGAATAGAAAGGAACAGAAATGCACGTTCTTTTCATTGTTGTTCGTACATTAAAAGTTCTGAAGTTGAGATTTTCTCTATAGTCATATCCCCCAACCTATCAGTAAATACTTTTTGAAAATTTTCTGGTAATAGTTTTCTTCTAACTTTATACATAAACTGTGCTGTTTGAAACTCTAGTAAATCTATAAATAAATTGTTGGTATGACAGTAAAATCAACCTTGTGAACTATTCAAATGGCTCTTTTTGGTAATCTGCATAATGAATAAAGTGACATTTTGTAAGTGTTGACCCATACTTCACCACAGTAATTTAGATATGGCAAAATAAGTGAACTGTCAAGAATATAAAGGGCAGAGGAGTTTAGAATTTTGTTAGCATTATGAAGAACTGCAACACTTCTACTGTAGCTATTTTAGATTTAACATATTTAAAATTAGGTTTCCAACAGATTTTATTATGAATCAATACCCACAAAAAACAAATTTCAGTTATCAGTTACTATTTGTAAATTGCTGTGCCTTTTACAATTCAAATACAAATACTAAGACTGCTGTCCACATATATAGCTACTCCTCCACCACTGCTTCCCTCTCTGTTAATATAGCTAAATTAATAACCATCTAGTAAAAAATCAGCTCCCATTCAGAGATAGTTATGACATTGAAAGGCTGATTAACCTGGCTTAAACAGTCTTTGATGTGGTTAAAATTCATATAAGCCTCTTCTGTTGACATGCATAATGGAATTGGAACATTGATCAAATATATAACATGTATGTACACTTGGGTGAGGTGTTACTTACAGTCTCTTCCTCTCTCTTTTCTGCATCAGAAAGAGAAAAATAGAATTTCAAAACATGAAACAGGGTTTCCTTGCTAAATGTATTTCATCTAATCCGAAGATAACACTTCTTTGTTTTACAAAATAATGGATATAGCATTTTTCTACAAAAAAATATTTTATCTGTTCTATTAATGGTGCCCTATGACATGTTAGTATAATGTTCAGTAAGTACAGCACAGATTTTTATCTCAGTTACAAGAAATTTCGTCATACCTGGTCATTTCTGGGTTTCACAGTCCTAAAACACATGCATACCAACATTCCATCACAAGTAAGTCCCACATCACGTGTCCCACATGCCATCTGTTTCATGTGTAGAGGAAAGTATAGGAATATAAAAGTTCACCTTCTCTGTCATCTGTTTGAGACGAGACATTGACTCATCATGTTGCTCTCTTTGGTGCTGCTTTGGCTTCTGGTCGGGGGTTCACAAGCATCTCATTTTCTTGGCACCGTGATGACCTATTACCCAAAGGAAACTCTTGCAAATGGATCAATCTCAGTAAGATACGATTTGTTTTGTTTGTTTGTTTAATTTTTGTGTCTTGCTCTTAGCAATTGATTGTACTTTAAAAATCTTCTCTTTAAATCAACAGGTGATCCTTCGCTACAAGCTCAATTTTGCCCGTTGCAAACATAGTGATACATGGGAATGCTCTGGCAACTGTGGAATAGAGACCCAGACCCTTGCATTATCTGTGGTTGAGGAGGAAACGATGTTGGACAGCAGATGGTGTCAGAGAGAAGGGGAAATAACTCATCTGCTCCCCAACAATACAGGATTTCAGACTGTGTGAGTCTTCCACATTAGTTGGTGCAGTTTCAAATCGGCATCTTGGGAAAAAAACTGTGAGCAAGTCACAATGACTTGCTGTGGTGAGCTCTGATTATGGGTGCAGCTGATAGGAGACAAACATATATTGAATCTATAATATGCAGTGCAAAGTACATATTTTAAACCTTATCAAAAATCTCCACTTTAGGTTGGAGGGTAGTGGTTGGGTCACTAACACCCAAAATGGTGTTTCCTTCTGGTTAGCTGTGACTGATGTGGAACTGAGAAACCGTTCGGACATTGAAAAACCAAACTCATCCCCACAGTCAACCATTCTCCCAGCTCTGAGGTAGGACACCTAAATGATGGGTATTTCACTAAATCAAAACAACATACAAGGGGTACTGTTTGAAAAAAAAAAGTTATTTATAATTGAATTTGTTTAAAGTAAAATGTTACTTAAATTCACAAAAAATAAACGCCTACTATAAATTATGTGAGAATCTCCTTTAAGATTTTTGAAAGTCTTCTCTTTTACATTGATCATAAAGGGATATTTTCCATATTCTTAAAGCTCAGGTCTCTCTACAGAGAGAGTGGTTTGTACTCTGGCTTTGCCAATGCAAAAAATATTACTATCGCAAAGTTTATGTATTAACCATTGAAAGCTTTATTCCTTATAAAGGGTCAGCTTGCAAGAGGCATATCAATTGTCTCTATGTAGTAGACATAGTAGAGACAGATCCAAAGAGAAAAAGTTTGCTCTGGTACTAATCTAAATGTTTTCCTTTCCTAGATTTCCCTCAAACTGTGCCAAAAATATAAATTTATTAGCTTTCGACCCAGATGGAGATGAAGTTAAATGCAGATATGGAAGCATGTCAGATTCAGAGTGTAACCCATGCACGCCCCCATCTGTCCTCAGCCTCTCATCCGTAAGTAAACTGTGTATAAATGATATGCAAAGTTGAAGTGAATTTTAGGAATCTTTTGATTCTATTACACATCAATGATTATCCTATTTGAAAGGTCTTTTAAGTTTGAAATATCATAAAATAACCAAATTGAAGATATGTCTTATAGAATATGTTTTTCTTGTTGTTGCTATTTTTAATCAAATCCATATTTCCTTTAGGTAAAAATATGTTTAAAATTCCAAGTTTCCCCTTAACAATATTGCTCACTTTACTTTATTACCTTCTTTAATTTGAGACAAAAGAAAAGGCAAAGCTCTAGCAAATATAATTTATACAATTATTATGGTTGCAATATTTTCTGTGGAGCTACACAACCACCAAGGCTTCAATCACATTTTTATTCTAAGCAGAAACTGATGAAGTAGTCTGGCCTCTGCTGTGCAATAAATACTACATTAGATCCAGGAATTTTTCTTGCACCAATTTCCACATAATACATCAGACTTATTATTTTAGGAATTTTTATAACCGACTCGTTTGACTGGTTCCATTTGTTCAGTTTTAAATTTAAAACTTTAAATAAATAAGCAAGTGTAAAAATATTTCAGGGTATAATTAGAGATTTACAAAAGAAATATATATGTATCTGAGGAGATAGCTGACATACATAGATAACATAGGTTTGAGTGCACAATTGTTTGATTACTGCACATGTAACAGCCCAATAATATGTACCAGTTTAAAACGTTTAGAATATACTGCTGTTTTACCATTTTTTTTTTTTTGTCTCCCTACAGTCTTGTTCTCTGTCATTCAGCCCAACTAACAGCACTCTTAACAGTAGTACTGAGCTTCTATATGCGGTCCAGTTGGTGATGGAGGACTTTCCCACACAGAACATTACTTTGACTCAAACAGATGGTTCACAGGAGGTGAAAACTACCACTGATGCCATCAGCAAGATTCCTTTACAGTTTGTTTTGAGAGGTACAATCACTGAAGTATCATCCTTTTTTTTACAGTGGGAGACTATTTCTGATTTTTATAACTCACAAAAAAAAACCTCTCTTCAGCTTTGGTCCAATTCTTTAACAATCAACATCCTACTAACAATATGTTTACACCCTGACTTGAGTTGCAAAGGAAACAAAAGTCAGCTTTAAAGTTTTAGCAAATATTTTAACTTCACATTTTATATTCCTGATAGAGAGAATGGTTACTATTTTTCTGATATTCTTGATATCTTGTCTTAGATTCATGCTTTCTTTTGTAATTTTAGTGGGCCCTACAATACCATCCTGCACAGAGGGTCTCTACCTGCCTAGATTTCTGTTTCCAACTCCAGAGAACAGAGCTCAGCTTTTCAGCACCGTTGGTCAGGTTCTGGAAATAAGCATCAGAGCAGAGGCAAATATGTCTGTGTAAGTAAAAGCAAGGCACATCTCAAAAAGTCTGAATCAAGATCATACATGTTTGATGTGATGGTGTACTTTGTAAAAAATAAATAAATAAAAAATAACCAGGTCACTTGTTAGTTAGCATTTCGCAGTCAGTACCAGGTACTTCATTTTTTCTTCTTACATTTTTCTTTTTTCAAAGTAACCTCCTTTAGCTTTAACAGCAGCCCACCGTGTCTTAATAATTGCCATATAGGATTTAATTCTTACTTTTAAAATACATTTTTTCAATCTATTAATTCCCCCAAACTAATGTCTTATCTTTTGTGAAAGAATCCCAATAAAAAGCTAAAGTAGTTCCTATCCTACTGTGTTTTTTCATTTTCCTTTCACAGTACAGTCCACCTGTTTGTTATGAAAGTTGCAAACCCAGCTGTGGATTCCAGACCGGTGTCTGGTTAGTCAAGTTCTATCAGGAGTCAGGAATTTGATCTAGTCTGTTTCTGGTATCTTGCATAACTCTAACACAAACGCAAGAGGTTTACATAAACACAAAAAGAATATTTGACATTTCCCATCACCCCCGTTGAAGTTAAATAACACCTTGAAAGAATGTCAGTCGACTCTCCAGCCATCATTTGGATAATGATCCAAGGCAGAAGTGGCCATAACTATTCTGTTTTCTGTTTGTTAAAAGAATTACCAACCTCCTGTATAGCGGGCCTTACAATGTGGTGAAGAGGTCATTGGGATCAGGAAGCTTCTTTCTGAGTTGGACACCATCTGCAACAGAAGTTGGACAGAGTCATCCCATCTGTTTTACCGTGCAGGCAAAGTCGGTACCTTTTCAGAACATTGTACTATAAATGCAAATTATCATAAGTGTAAAAAAAAAATGGAATGACTATGATGAAATTATTAATCTATTTAAATTATGTTGTATGAGATGTTTAACATGGTAGAGATTTTCAGCGTTCTGATCATAGGTTTTTTTAGACAGATGATGCTTTCAGATTCTGACGTTTTTGTTAATACTAGTAACAAAGTATATTGTTCTTTCCCCCTTTTAATTAATGTTATGTATCAGACTGAAAACCTGTATCTCAACCAGATGCAGTGCTGTGCTTAAAAGGTTTATTGAATGCTTTGGAAGTCCTAGATTTAACTGGATATGCAGGGAGACAATCTGGTGGTAGGTGGTACAGGTTGGAGGCAAATTGAACACGTTGGTTGCTGGCTGGAAAAGCAGGTGACAGCTAAACAAGCTAGTTGCATGCTTAAAGCAGGTGATGATGGTTGAATAGACTGGTGCACTGAAATGAAAAAAAGTAAGGGCAGGGCGACCACAGGAATGCAGGGTGGACAGGCAAAGCACACATTCACTGGAAATTGACGTACACAGGCAGTAATACAATCTGGTGAAGATTGACTGGGAGAGGCAGGTATAAATAGACAGAGTCTCAGGTGGAAAATATTGTGTTAATCAGACAGAAGCAGGTTAAGAAGTTTACCTGTTCAGCAGAGTTGAGCAGAGCAGGAAGAGGAAAATAACCGAAGCCAGCCCTAAAAGTAACAGCCAAAGGCTGGCTGTATGTCAGGTCATTTATGCTTCTGCAGTTGATAATTATAAAAATTTGAGCAGAGGAGACATGCAGCACAACAAGAGACTTCCCACATTAAAACAATCTTTTACTCATGTGGAGAAAATGAAAAAGATTCCAGAGATTGTTTTCAGTTTTGCTTGGCATTTGATTTTAGTGTCTGGTTTCATTACCATCACTATTTGTAGACAACAGTTGCTGTGTTTCTTACAGGTTCTAATGGAAACACTTACATAACATTAGCTTCCACATTTTCTCTGCTGTATTCCCAAAGCAAAATAGCTGTAGTTGGTTTAGGCTTCTTTTAACCATAATAGCAGACAACCTTTTGTTAATAAATATAGTTTCCTTTCCAGAGATATCGTTAGCTTTTGTGTTTTCCTCTAACTTCATTATAGTTTGCAACTAACTTTACAAACAAACTCAACTTTGCAAACAAACTGAAGAGTTCTGATGTTAGATTAAAGTGGTAACACTTATTCAAATGACTGGTCACTGGTTTGGGCTAATTAAACTAGAAAATCAGCTGATTGAGCATTCTTCTTTACATTTCAAGACCTTCGACTTTGTAGATAATGTAGGAACTAATGTAATTTAATTTACATCATACCAAATACCCAATGAAGCTGCAAAAGTGTTGTCAATCTGTTTCAATAAGTTGGGTTTGCACAGTGTTACTAAATAATGAATACTATGAAATTTGATCTCTGAAAGTTTCCAGCTTTTCAGCTCAGACTGCCAATACAGTAGAAGAGCTTTTTTTTAAACCCTGTCATATTCATACAAATGGGATACTTGAGGATATCACTGCAGTTATTACAACAAACTAGTTATATATCTTTGCTTTTTACCTTTACAGTGTATCCAATACTTTCTATGACTCTGAACTTCGGTGTGTTATTGTAACGGTTGGAAACGGTAAGGGAAGTCTGTCTTGCACCTTATATTTTGAAGCCCTTAATGGTTTTTGTAAGGTTAATGTTGTTTTTGGATCTATCCACAGCCCCATCACTCTCTACAGCAGGACCAACTTCATCTGTGCCTTTATCTACAGAGAGCTCAACAGAATTAATATTAAACACAACTACACCAAGTACCGTAAATGCTACCGCTAATTCCACCACCCTAATCTCAACTCGAAATGCTACTACAAACATCACACTTGCTCTGAATACAACTACTTCAACAAATGCAACACAGATAATCTCAACATTAGCTGGAACAACTTCTGATCCAGGGCCAGGTAAATAAAAAACCGGTTTGCATGACTTAGCATTTGCACAATATTCCTAGTACAACACATGCAAAAAAGGAATTGCACATGCATTCATTATTTGGAATCATCAAAGATCAGGCCTTTTATTATTACCACAATTAAGCTGTGATTAGAAGCAATATGCCATGGATTTGTAAAGTTTGTTCTCTTTTTTTTAGGATATGTTATTGCTCTGAATATGAAGATCTCCACCACACTTTCTTTAAAGGATGATTCTGATACCATCATAGCACTGGTCAGTAAATTTCTTCAATCTCAAACAAATTAAAATCAATCATTTTATGCCAAACAGGTTTTGCTGATTTTCCTATATAGCATTAAGTGCCTTCCTCATCTGAAATATCTCATCAGTTTGCATCTTAATGTTTAAACTTTACTGATCTCATGGCGCTTTCACACCTTGACAATTTGGCTAACGTATGAAATATTTGGCAAAAACTCTGGGGTAGATTACAAAAGCTATGGGTAAGTTTTGTATAAGTTATGAGCACGCTCAAGCACGTCAACATACGGCAAGTACGTCAAGACATTTTGAGCGTATGATGTATTCCAGTATATGCTCATTCATGGGCCATAAGTTACAGGTACGTTTTGTGATAATTGAGACACGTTAACTGTAAGTTACTCATAGGTCGTGGTGTCTAGCTTATCCAGCCTGTATCATCCCCATCAGGGTGAGCGTGAAGGTGACTGTGATGGGTTATCTGTTTACGCCCACGACCAACAAAACTCCTGTCGCTGATTTTGCTGTGACTTCAAACCTTCTTTATTTCTTTTTTCTTTTTCTCTTTTTTTTTGGGCAGGCGGTAAACAGCAGCTAGATAAATCTTCTTCTTGTGCTTTTTATGCCGGCCAGGCACCTCTGGTCGTGTTGCTGCCCCCCTTAGGACACTGGCTTGTGACATTTCATGGGCATTACGCTGCCGTGCGTTATGCACAAGTTAGGTTGTCGTTCGACATAAGTTCTGGACTTGTTTTTGAAAATTCAATGTATATGCCCAAAATGGAAAAAATACAAAGAAAGTTCAGCGTATGCCAGCGTTTTAGAAGATTCATAGTACGTCGGCATACGCTGGCTAAATCGTCAAGGTGTGACAGCGCCACTAGTTTTGAATGAGTTCAAACACTGATAACCAGTGATAACAACCTGTATTTTCTTCCTCAGATTAAAGAAAAACTGGTTCAAGAAGGGTTGCCTTCCTCCATAACTATTCGCCCCTTGAATACAACAGCAAGTCCCTAGAGGAGCATCAAGAAGCAGTAACTGGGCTATGTGGGGATATATATATATTTCCAGAGGTCGAGAAAAATCTACAAAAATCATGAATACATATAATCTGTTTTATTCTTTGCCTAGCCTTTGTCATCCGTGTATCCATCCATCCATCCATCCATCCATCCATCCATCCATCCATCCATCCATCCATCCATCCATCCATCCATCCACCCATCTATCCATCCATCATCTGATCTATCTTGTCTTTGCGGGGTTAGATGGGCACTGTGTTAAGGGGCTAGCTTTGTCTAGCAGACATTTGACTAGTGGCAGGGTAAATCCTGCACAGGTTGTCAGTCATTCCAGGTTATTACAGAAACACACAGGACAATAAAACAAGGCTGCTCCACACATACTTGATGACAGTTAAGAGAGAACAGTTGACCTAACATTCATGTTTTGTACTGTGGTAGGAATATAGAGTGTATTTCTTTTCTTTTGACATATATCATATCAATACTCTAACATTCGTGTCTAGAAAATGAAGCGAATAAAAACTTATAAGTATGTTCATCTTTGTATTGTATGCTTTTTTTTTTACCTCCCCATCTGCATTAGAACCATCAATCTCAAATCCTAATTTTAAAAAATTACTAAAACAAAGTCAGTATGGTCATTTAAAACATATTATCTATTTGCAACATATTTCTTATAACTTTACTTTAGTACCCACAAGGCAATATAAGAAACAGCTTTTAGAGTGTAATTGCTTTAATGGTGTGCTTCTGTTTGCATCTTCAAAACATGACTTTTAACATGCATCACAGTGATTTATAGCCAAGAACAATGTCCAAAGTCAAACCTCGACGGCCACCGTCCTGCAGGTTTTAGAGGTTTCTATCCTTCAATACAGCTTATTCATATAATTGCAGTTCAGCAAAAGCCTGTTTACCAGCTATCAATAGAGATCAGCTGTGCTGAAGCAGGAAACCTCTAAAATCTGCAGGACAGCAGCCCTTCAGGACCAACTTTGGACATGCCTGACCTCAGACATTAACCACAAGGCTCACAATCAGAGGTCAGGTGAGGTGTCTGTCATGTCTGTCATGGCAAAGAACAAGTTGACTCTTGATTTACTTTACATAAAATGCAAAATGCTGAAGCGATCTAGAAATATGTCAACATTTCTTATATTACGTTTATTTAGCCTTAATTTGAGTAGGTAAATAAGGTGATTTGCCAATGGAATTAGTGCTTTTACTCTTTATTCCTTAGATAATATAAAAGACAATGCAATTATTTTTTCTTATTATAAATGTAAATTGACTTGTTCCATTGGCAAAGTGTCTCACTTACCTCCTTAATTCAAGACAAAATGCACTTATTTTAAGAAGAAAATTCTTATTTAGATTTACATTTTTAAACTGGAGAGAAAATGACGCTCTACACGCATACGCAAATCCCACCTAGTCTGGAAAAACACTTATTGCTATATAGGAACACCTTTCATAAAGCAAGAACAACATATTTCTCTTCATTAATAGAGGAGAATAAGAATAAGTCCTAGATTTATTTTTAATACAGTTTCCAAACTCACCCAGAGCCATAGCTCTGTTGAACCATCCACCACCCCCTGCTCATAGCATTAAGTAACAAGATTAATTTTATTAGAAATAAGATAATCAGAACCCCTCTAAAAAAAAACAGTTCGAGACTGCTTTGATCCAGTTGAACTTTCAGAATTATCAAAACTAATATCTTCATCCAAGCCTTCATCTTTTATGTAACATCCAGTTCCAACCAGGTTATTTAACCAGGGGAAGTATTCCCTTTGAACTCTTTCATTTTAAATGTAATTAACCTATCCCTGTTACAGGGATATGTACCAGAGGCTTCTAAGGTTGCTGTAATTAAACCTTTACTAAAGAAACCGTCTCTTGACAAAGATGACTTGGTCAAATGTAGACATAAAAAGCTGGATGACTTTACTTTTCTCCTTTTGAATGCAGACAAAACAGAAGTTATGGTCTTTGGACCAGAGTCTTTGAAAAATAAGCTGATTAGTCAGTCACTTCATATGGATGGGATTAAATTGATCTCAAATGATAAAGTAAAAAATCTTGGTGTTATTTTTGATCAGGACCTGTCAT